TATATATATATGCTTATGTTTGTGTTTGGACAGCAAATGTATGCATATATCTCTCTATATTAAAGCTCAGGGAGCCTGAGGTTGTGGGTGGCCGTCTAGGCACTAGGATCCTAGACCACCTTGGGCACCTAGGGCCCCCTAGCGTTTTCTAGAACCTTGGGTAAGGGTGTGTATAAATGAACACTAACACGGTCTTAGCATCATTAAGGTGTACCTTTTACCCTACGCATTACACCAAGAGCCTCAAGTAGGAGGTCTATGCAGTGTGTTGCATATGGTATACAAAATATACGAGGCTGCTCCTTAGCCATAGCCAAATTGGCTACATCACTATCAATTAAGACTTGCATAACATGCTCTTCCCCAACCTCCTCAATACCCTTGTTAAACAAAGAAAAAAATGAATTGGGCATCATTTATAGCATCAGATACATCAATAGACCTCAAAAATATTGTCACCAAAGGACAATTCAGCATTAGGTACATCACATTCCTACTCTTATCCCTCAATGTATATGTCATTGCAACCCCATTTTGAACCTACATATCCTTATGGGTCTTGAGGTATTGCTTTGTGAGCTGTACCTCTAAAGCAATGGCTCCTTAAGATCATATGGGGTTAGGCCCTTTAACCATAACCCAAATTATTGCTTCCAATAGTTTATGGAATTGTGCAAGATAGGAACATTAAAAGCAGTACCCGCCTGATAAAAAGGCAGCAATATATTGTTTCACTCTCGGGCCTAATCTTCCTTCTTGAACATATTTTCTATTGTTACTTTCTTTTTCCCTTTCTCTATTGTGGCCTTGGGATTTTTTTTTATTTTTTATTTTTTTTGTTGTTTGGGGGGGAAATAGGTATCAATTGAGCCCATACGAGGCTTCTTCAACCAATCCTCTCATAGAACTTCGAGAGGAACCGCACTTCTATTTTCGCTTCATCATCATCATTATTACTAAAACCATTCACCAGTGCCCTCAACTCTGCCATACTTGCCACTTTTGCCACCTTCGTCCTCTTTTCAGCAACGACATTGTCAAGAATCTCCTTCGTAACTTCTATTGGAACTTCCTTACATGGAGGCAATATCCCCCCAATACCAGCAAGGTGTTTTTTTAAATCTATTAATCCTTGCATTTGTATTGTTACCACAAAATTTGCACAAGATTTTGTTCATATAATTTTTATCAGGGAAAAACTTATATTTCCATTCCAGAGCTCCTTTCCTATTAGAACCCATGGAAGTCATTTGGAGAAAAGGAAAAATCTCAAATATGAAGATAGAAAACTAACCTTTGTTGCTCAATCTTCAGACTTTGAAGTTTTTGATAATATAAACCTCTAAATCACCCTAAAATTCTGTTAATAACTTCTCATAGTGCTTCATGATGAGTCCAATAAAAAAAAGTAAAATGAGATGATTTCTCAAGCCTGTAAAATTTTATTGATCTAAAAAAAAAATAGAAATCTCTCTTTTTTCTTTTAAGGATTTTTGGGTATGAAAGGCTCAAAGAAGGCTTGAAAGTTGGAATACTCCCATCCTTTTTCCCCCTTAAAAAGGGAAAAAGAGTAAATAAAAAGCCCTTGCTCGAGGGAATTTTCCGCCCTTGGTCGAGGGTGCGATCTGCATGCCCACCCGAGTTTGGGTGCTGGGTGGACAGCCAGCCCAAAAAGGGCTGCATATGCCCAGGCGGGGCGGAGCGACGCCTAGGAGGAAGTAGTCCTCTTTTTGTTTCATTAGACTACAGGAAACCACACAATGAGGGGATTAACATCCATGATATCAAAGTCTATGGTTATCCACATGCTTTCAAACCACAATGTTTTTTCATTTTTGAGGAAAA